GCAAAACCGCATGCCTCTGAGAGCCAGTGTGGGACGGGCGATGACACCTGTGGCGCTTGATTCGCCCATCGTCACTTGACCGAGGCCACCCGTAGATATTTTTACCTCAGCGTGCAGCGGGCATGCAGCGTCCCCAGAGACTCGGCAGGGCCAATCAGGGCGATGGACCGCAGCGGCCGATGGTTCTGGCGCGTTGAATTAGGGCCCTACACCTCGCTGCACAGCCTGGCCGCTGCTCCCTGTAGCCACTGTGTCTGGGAACATACCGCTCTGATGCGCCATACCTGCCATCCCGTCCCATCCCATACCAGCCCGACCTTGCACTCGCATCAGGCGACACCCGGCCCTGGCGGCTCTTGCCGGTTCTGGGAATTCGTGTCCCAGTCGTCTCTGGCCTTTCCGAGCCGACACCCCAGCACGGCCACTCTGTTTGGCCGCCCGTCCCCTCCACTCCCAATCCCTTCCCTCCTGGGCCATGCACCATGTCTCGTTTTGTCTGGCTTTGCTCTACCTGGACTTTAGATGACGATGTGCATTGTGCATCCCCCTCGGTCCCGGGCGTCTGGCCCTAGCCCGCGCCTGCCTATCACAAACCTCGTCTGCCCTCTCTCTTTTGTATTTGCTTTTTAGCGTCGTCGGTTTTTTCTCCTGCCGTGAATAGCTCATCTATCTGTTTTCATGCACCAGCCGGCATATCTCGAACCCCCCCGAACCCCCAGCCCCCTCCTAACCAGGCTGGCGGGATTGCTGCTCGCTCTCTGGCCAATATGACGGCTCGCATTCACACCCTACCGTGCAAACCCAGTAGCACTCCCGCTACGCATCTCATGGTGCCAAATTACTCATCTTCTGGCCGTAGTAGTATGCGATGCGCTACCTACATACCAGCAGGGCGAACCAGACCTACCGGCTGTGCCTTGAGTCCAGTCCAGTGCGCGGGTTCTTCCTTCGAAAGGCGTGAAAGAATGGAGCGGAATCCCACTATACCGTTCGATATTCCACAGCCGTTTTAGCCTTGCTGCTAACTTTTTGACGTTTAATGCCTTCGCACAGAGCCTAAATGGGCCCCGGCGCCCAGTGACTGACGTTTCACAATGGACCTGCTCCGCAAACGAGGCATTCTGGCAAGTGGGAATTTTCACGAGACCCTGAATGCCAGCCTTGGCGTGACGATGCCATCCCCCTCCAAGCCGAGGCTGTTCTGGACCCTGCTCAATCACAACGTGGGTGCTGGGTCCCCAGCGGACAAATAGCGTTGGGAAAGCCTAAATCCATCAATTCGTCACTTGGCGATTGTAGAATGCAATCGATGGATGACATCCTGCTCGGACTTCCCCCCCCTCCCGGAATGCCTGTCTTATCAATTCAAAGTCTAGACTTTCTACTCCAGTAAAACATCTCGGAAGGAAGCCTGGTCCCGGGAGTTGACCATGGAGATGAGACAACCCTCGTCTTTCTCACGAGGTCGGTACTAGACCTCAAACAGACTATCAGAATACCTACGGAAGGATGGGTGGGCGAGCAACATACCTTTCCCCACGGCGGTGCGGCAGCTTCCGACAGGTCACGCAGCAAATAAGCTTCCGCCATACGGAGAGGCCATCCGCCCATACGAAAGAGCTCTAACCATTTCGTGGCACCTACCTTCCGGCAAGAGGGCGATTTAATCGCTCCCACCGTGTGTGAGACAGACGGAAAGATCCATCAGTCAACCAGCTACGTACTTTTTCCCCTTCTGTCCGCCCCATCGCCATTTGTGTCTCTGGTTCAAACTCTGAGGCCCAAGATGGGAATCGAGGGGTCCCACCGGGTCTGCCTGGCCGGCCGGTCGACCACGAGAGCAGCCTGCAGGTCTGGCCAGGGCCATGAGAGACGGAGAACTGCGAAATATGACGAGTGCGGTTGGGTAGTTGACTGGTTGACTGTCGCCTGCAGTCAATGGGTGCCCCATCAGACGACGTCGACACGCCCATCATTATTGGATTCCCTTGTCTCGTCCGCCCAATTCTGCATATTTTTCCTATTAAAATGGGCCAAAACAGACGCAGGCTCGGCACACGGTACGTAGGTATGGCGGTGCATCTGACGTTCGGTTCAGTTCCAAAAAAAGCAGCAGGGTGAGGCGGTGCACACACAAAGGGCGGGCGGGTCCTCGGGCGGGCCACTCGCACATGTTGGGGACGGGGGGCTTGTAGCTTGTATCTGGGAGGTATGGGTGGAGGCTGCAAGAAGGAGTATCGACTGCGAGATGATGTTGTGAGGTGAGTAACACAACGTCAATAATCAGACGCGATGCGCATTGTCCGCAGGGTTTCATCCATGTGCCTTGAACACCCAAACCCATGCTCCTCAACGAGATCGCGAGAGCAAGGTCAGGGAGGACTCTGATCTGTGGGCCAGAGTCGCAGCGAGACGGGCCAAACCAGCTCCAATTTCCCTCTGGCTAGCCATGCCCCCCTCCTCCCCCCTCCCGGCTCTCTGAAAGACCAAACATGGGGAAAATTCTCCTGAGGCCAACCCGACCGCCTCCGACATGCTCGCCCGGGCGCAAAGTCCAGCCTGCGCTGCTGTCATGCTGTCAAACCAGTTCCTCCCATCGTCGCAGCGCAGCATTACGGGTGTTTCTGACTACAGGCCGGTTTTTCTCGATGTTGCATCAGACGCAGCTTTTCCTCGGAATGGATTGGGAAATGGGGCGATTATGGTCTTTCACACGAGCCTGATGCCAAGAGAAGCCCGTACACAAGCAGAGTTCGGCTTGGGCCAGTCGCAGTCCAAACGGACGACACTCCACAGACGGGCCTGCCGAGTCTGGCAGTTGGCAGTCTTCTGTTTTCGGAGGTGGCTAGCAAAAGAGGGTCGCTGAAAGTCCTGATCGAGTATTGAACTGATCGCTGCGTGCCTACGGTGTGCTACCAAATTTGGCGGACATTGGCTGATGCCGAGGGCATCCCGCCGCCTGATTGGTCTCCTCTGTCTCGGTGCAACGTGGCGTTGGGTGTGCAGCCGATTAGTACATACATGGGGTTGACGGCATCAACTGCTACATCTTGGTTGCTTCTCTGGGAAGAAGAGTTGCATGTAATACCGTAAGTCTTTGTTCATCCTTTTCCTTTGGGGCTCTCTTATCCACTCTTCTGCGCAACCTATGCACCGGCCGCCTCATATGTTTTCTATTGTCGTCCTTTTTTCATCCAGTCTCTCGCCCCGTTAATACAGGTTGCAGTAACACCATGGCGTTCGGGGTGTAAGTCGGAAATGTCATGGCTAGCAGGCCTCCACAGACACAATTCTCGACGCATGGAGTGACACATAGGCTAGTGTACGATGACATTCTATCACGCTGGGTACTGGACGGGAGATATTGCCTCCCCGCGCATTGGCATACATGATACACGATAAAACAAGGGACCATCCGCTACGTAATGGAATCCCAGCGAGTTGGAAATTGATAAGATGCATCGGGCGGGTCAGCAACCCACGTTGGATGCGGTAGTGTAGTGGTGGGCGTCCATCTAAGTGATGCCCTGTCTCTATTTTGGAGATGGCGAAGCACGGCCGGCATGTTGCAGCAGCCGTATTTCGAGTGAGTGAGGGTTCCTTGGCGCTAACTCGTACGAGTCATAATGTTGCTAGGAGCCGAGATGATGGCCACCCCTGCTGATCGCTTAATATGACAGGCATCATCAAGTCCCGAGCCAGAGGACGTGTGGAGAAGGGTTGAAAAAAAGAGCACACTCTGCAAATGACGGACGAAACAGCAGGGAGAGAGATCATGTGTGAGACTCCCCCCCGCCCGATATTGCAACCAAAGCGGATTAAAAGGAGACCGAAAAAAGCAACCCAAGCTCAGGTTTGCGCTACAGGGCCACTCAGAGGCAAACAACATGCTAGAAATGACACAAGGAAGCGTTGTCATGCAATTGATAGTAATACTGCGTCGCATTCGATGAGGAAAAGTCATGAAGGCCGATTCCTTGGTTGATGCGACTGTCGATGGGAAGCAGGATTAGGGTAGGTCGGTGGGTGGTGTGTACTGAGGATAATACCGTGGTGGTGCGCTGCTGGCACACTGCGGCAGCGCTAGGGCCCGGAGCGTCGTGGCTGAGGAGAGCCGGGATTGGAGCGATAAAAGGCGATGTGGAAGATAGACGTTCGGGACAGCAAGATGCCATAGGGCTGAGCAGGCGCCGTGAGCAAATGCACTTCGCAAGCCCAGGTCATACATGGTAGGTCCTTAGAGGCTGCTGGCGGCCACTGCACCACCCTTCCACCACAAGCGTGCACGCACATGCCCGCCTGCTTCCCGCCAGAGGGTTGTGGTAAGCTCACGCTAGCCTCGCTGGCAGCAGAAAACCACACTCATCGACCCTTGGGCCTGCAATGGGCCCCCTGCTATCGGCACGCCTACCACCAGTTTAGCTTCCTTGCTCGAGGGTTCCGTGGTTGTGGCTCGCCGATGAAGTCCACCTCCTTTCCGTGGGGGGCGTGCAGATGGATTCCGGCCAATCAGCGACCGGGATGAGCCAGGGCCGCCAGATGTGAACGCCTCCCCGAAACCCCTGACAGTTGCTCTGGCGGCATGTGCCGTGGTGGGATCCATCACCCTCTAAACCCGAATTGGGCTATCTGTGCGATGGCCAACGCCCCTCCCAAGAGCCACATTCTGTCTCTGACCCTGCGTGCCACAGGGTCGGCCGCCCCCAGGAGACGGGTACCAGTCCTGGGCGAGAGTCGCGACTGACCACAAGCTTTCACCCACTGGAATTGCATGCCGTCATGTGCGAGGCCAATATTGGCTACCACGGTCCAGTTTGACTTTCGGGGGGCTATCCGAAATGCCATGTGTCAGCTACGTTTATGCTCTAATACTGCTGCTACTTTCTGGGCATGCGGAGAGTTCTAGATAGCCGAAGGCGGTGGCCCAATTGATGCCTCCTCTCTTGTTGCGGAAATCCTTTGACTTTGCTAGCAGGTACCTACCTACATGCATCGACCGATCAAGAACCGCTGTACAGCTGATAGGCCCTCGCGCTAGTCTCCTTCAACTCGTCCTCCAGCACGGAAACGCGGACGTCGAGGACCACTAACAACCGGACGCCGCCAAATTGGCAATGTGATTCGCCCAGAGGCCGCGCAGGTCGCGTTGGCGCGACCGTCTCTGATTGGGCTGCTGTTTGCTCGGGCTTGCCGATCTGGAGACGGCCTAGAGAGACCTGCAATAACATCATCCAGACGGGACAGTAGACATTATGTCACAGATTCTTGGCTGGCTGCACCAACAGGCCTGCGAGATGACATGAGCTTTTTTGCCCACCGTAGCATATTAGCCAGTTTCATTTGGCGGGTACCACTTGATGTCTGCCTCTCCGTCTCTATTTGTTGGGACCTACCTAGCATGGTCCGCGGCGGTTCGCTTGTCATGCCCTTGGGCATCAACTCTTAATCTCTCGGAAGCCCTTCTTGCTTTTTTCAGACGTGAGATATCGAGGACTGAGGGTGAGACGGCAACGAGCATGGGCCTGAGGCATGGGCATGGGTTCCGATACTGGGCCGTGCACCGCGTCCCGACCGACCTCAAACTCGTCTATGCTCACCGGCCCTGGGGTTGGGAAAAGACCATCGGTGATAAGGCTAGGCTCATCACAGGGGGGGAACCGCCTCTTCGTTGAGGTCATCACGAACCATCAGGGGGATGACCTCTTAAAATGGGGCAATCCTTCTTGAAACTCGCCCGATTAACCACGGCAAGGGGGGGAAGGACCCATCCCCTTGATCGACGACGGGTTTTTCACTCTCACTTTCATTTTGCAAGACGCGGTTCTGTGGGGATGTCGAGGTCGGGGGGCCGGCCAGCAGTTGCTGTGCCTCGCCTCTCTTCTCCGTTTCTGTCCCTTGTCCACGATCATCCCTTTCCTAAGCGGGCAAAATTACCATCTTCCAGTCAATTAATCGTATTCCTCGCATCTGCGAGGTCGACCCCTTCCCGAATGATCCCCGGCGGGGCTCCAGGGTCCCCCTCCACGGTACGTACCTCGATGGCTATGTATTTCGTTGAATTGCCTTTTTCCCCCCCTCCCAGCGACCCGCCGGGCGGGAATCCACAGCAAAATTGCCGATGGAGATCCAATTTAATTTTCTCGCCCGTTGACCGGATTATCGAAAATCCACCGACTTACACGCGGAATTCAACCACGAGATGCCCTTTGCTCGCATTCATCGCTCTCTGCCACTGTGACTCCAACAACTCATCCCCCCCCTTTTCCTTGCTCGCCTTGAAACGTTTCATGGTAGGGGCTAACGTCAGCGCCATAGACCCCCTTCTGCCAATCTTGTTATACAGAGAATCTCAAGAATACGAAGTGGCTTTTCCCGCAGCGCCCGATATCCAACGGTTCAATCGTTCGAGCAAGTGTGACAAGTCACTAACCCACTCTCTCCCCCAACTCCCGCCCTAATTATAGTCATAGTCATAACCGGAACTAGCACCAATTCTCAAGCGCCGCCTCAAATCTCCTCCTCGGGTCCTAGATTCTGCCCTATGCAGAGCTAATGTAGGGCCTCAGG